GACACGTGACGTAACAGTACATGATTGGTGGGATTATGACGTTCATGACGGACACGTGACGTCACAGTACATGATTGGCGGGATTATGACGTTCATGACGGACACGTGACGTCACAGTACATGATTGGCGGGATTATGACGTTCATGAAGGACACGTGACGTCACAGTACATGATTGGCGGGATTATGAAGTTCATGACGGACACGTGACGTAACAGTACAGGATTGGTGGGATTATGACGTTCATGAAGGACACGTGACGTCACAGTACATGATTGGTGGGATTATGAAGTTCGTGACGGACACGTGACGTAACAGTACATGATTGGCGGGATTGTAAGTTCGTGACGGACACGTGACGTCACAGTACATGATTGGTGGGATTATGAAGTTCATGACGGACACGTGACGTCACAGTACATGATTGGTGGGATTATGAAGTTCATGACGGACACGTGACGTCACAGTACATGATTGGTGGGATTATGAAGTTCACGACGGACACGTGACGTCACAGTACATGATTGGTGGGATTATGACGTTCATGACGGACACGTGACGTAACAGTACATGATTGGCGGATTATGAGTTCATGACGGACACGTGACGTCACAGGACATGATTGGCGGATTATGAAGTTCGTGACGGACACGTGACGTCACAGTACATGATTGGAGGATTATACGTTCATGACGGACACGTGACGTCACAGTACATGATTGGCAGGATTATGAAGTTCGTGACGCACACGTGACGTCACAGTACATGATTGGTGGGATTATGAAGTTCATGACGGACACGTGACGTCACAGTACATGATTGGCGGATTATGAAGTTCATGACGGACACGTGACGTAACAGTACATGATTGGTGGGATTATGACGTTCATGACGGACACGTGACGTCACAGTACATGATTGGCGGGATTATGAAGTTCATGACGGACACGTGACGTCACAGTACATGATTGGCGGGATTATGAAGTTCATGAGGACACGTGACGTCACAGTACATGATTGGTGGGATTATGAAGTTCATGACGGACACGTGACGTCACAGTACATGATTGGTGGGATTATGACGTTCATGACGGACACGTGACGTCACAGTACATGATTGGTGGGATTATGACGTTCATGACGGACACGTGACGTCACAGTACATGATTGGTGGGATTATGACGTTCATGACGGACACGTGTCACAGCACAATATGGCGGGATTATGAAGTTCATGAAGGACAACGTGACGTCACAGTACATGATTGGCGGGATTATGAAGTTCATGACGGACACGTGACGTCACAGTACATGATTGGTGGGATTATGATTCATGACGGACACGTGACGTCACAGTACATGATTGGTGGGATTATGACGTTCATGACGGACACGTGACGTAACAGTACATGATTGGTGGGATTATGACGTTCATGACGGACACGTGACGTCACAGTACATGATTGGCGGGATTATGAAGTTCGTGACGGACACGTGACGTCACAGTACATGATTGGTGGGATTATGACGTTCATGACGGACACGTGACGTAACAGTACATGATTGGCGGGATTATGAAGTTCGTGACGGACACGTGACGTAACAGTACATGATTGGTGGGATTATGAAGTTCGTGACGGACACGTGACGTAACAGTACATGATTGGTGGATTATGACGTTCATGACGGACACGTGACGTCACAGTACATGATTGGTGGGATTATTAAGTTCATGACGGACACGTGACGTCACAGTACATGATTGGTGGGATTATGAAGTTCGTGACGGACACGTGACGTAACAGTACATGATTGGCGGGATTATGAAGTTCATGACGGACACGTGACGTAACAGTACATGATTGGCGGGATTATGAAGTTCATGACGGACACGTGACGTCACAGTACATGATTGGCGGGATTATGAGTTCGTGACGGACACGTGACGTCACAGTACATGATTGGTGGGATTATGAAGTTCGTGACGGACACGTGACGTCACAGTACATGATTGGTGGGATTATGAAGTTCATGACGGACACGTGACGTCACAGTACATGATTGGCGGGATTATGACGTTCGTGACGGACACGTGACGTCACAGTACATGACATTGGCGGGATTATGAAGTTCATGACGGACACGTGACGTCACAGTACATGATTGGTGGGATTATGAGTTCGTGACGGACACGTGACGTCACAGTACATGATTGGCGGGATTATGACGTTCATGACGGACACGTGACGTCACAGTACATGATTGGCGATTATGAAGTTCGTGACGGACACGTGACGTCACAGTACATGATTGGTGGGATTATGAAGTTCGTGACGGACACGTGACGTCACAGTACATGATTGGTGGGATTATGAAGTTCATGACGGACACGTGACGTCACAGTACATGATTGGCGGGATTATGTTCGTGACGGACACGTGACGTCACAGTACATGATTGGCGGGATTATGAAGTTCGTGACGGACACGTGACGTCACAGTACATGATTGGTGGGATTATGAAGTTCGTGACGGACACGTGACGTCACAGTACATGATTGGCGGGATTATGACGTTCATGACGGACACGTGACGTCACAGTACATGATTGGCGGGATTTGAAGTTCGTGACGGACACGTGACGTCACAGTAATGATTGGTGGGATTATGAAGTTCATGACGGACACGTGACGTCACAGTACATGATTGGTGGGATTATGAAGTTCGTGACGGACACGTGACGTCACAGTACATGATTGGCGGGATTATGACGTTCATGACGGACACGTGACGTAACAGTACATGATTGGCGGATTATGAAGTTCATGACGGACACGTGACGTCACAGTACGTGATTGGTGGGATTATGAAGTTCGTGACGGACACGTGACGTCACAGTACATGATTGGCGGGGATTATGACGTTCATGACGGACACGTGACGTCACAGTACGTGATTGGTGGGATTATGAAGTTCATGAAGGACACGTGACGTAACAGTACATGATTGGTGGATTATGACGTTCATGACGGACACGTGACGTCACAGTACATGATTGGCGGGATTATGAAGTTCATGACGAACACGTGACGTCACAGCACATGATTGGCGGGATTATGAAGTTCATGACGGACACGTGACGTCACAGTACATGATTGGCGGGATTAACGTGTCCTATCTGCGCATGTGGAGGATTTAAAAAATGATCTTAATATTAAAGCCTGGTCTAGAGGTGCATTAAAAGTTAATCCTGGACGCTGCCGACGCGCATGCGCACAAGAAATCTGTATTAAACTTTAATACCGGATTAACTTTTATGGCACGTGCAGAAAACGCCCTAATATGAGCAATATGAGCTAATATAACAATATGAGCCCCACGAACTCATCTGTCTGTATTTATCAGTATTAAATTAATTTCTGTTATCATTCGTAGCAGAAATGTTTTCGAATTATTCCCATTATGAGTCGGATTATCATCATTTTTAACTGTTGTTATCACATTCCAAGAAAAATAGCAATAATGATAATAAAAAAAAAGATTATATCAATAAAATAACGATAATGTTAGTAATAAAAATAACAGAATAAGAATATCAACTGTAAGGTGATAATGATAATAAAAAATGATTACAATAATACTGCCACTGATGATGATAATAAAATTGATAATAGTAATGATGAGGATGATTATGATAATGACAACAACGATAATGATAACTATATTAATAAAAACGAGAACAGTGATAATAATAATAATGATAACAATAATAAAAATAACAATAGTAATGATAATAGTAGTAATGATGATAATGGTGTCGATCATAACAATAATAATGATAATGATAATGATGATAACAATAATAATAATAATGATAATGATAATGCTAATAATAACAATAATAATAATGATTATATTAATAATAATGATAATAATAATGAGAGAAGTAGTAGAAATGACAATCATATTAATAACGATGATAATGGTAATGAGACAGTGATAATATTAATGATAACGGTAATAATGGTAATGTGAATATTGATAATGAAGAAATTGTAATGAAGATAATAGTAATAGTAACAATAATGATGATAATGATTACAATTTTTGATTTAACTTCATCATAATTTTTTTTCGTTATTTGATAATAGCTTTTGGGGTGAAACTAAAATACCGAAGTTATTTGATATTAATGAAAATGTTATGATTTAGATAATTTACGATTATAGAATTTCCTTGTTAAAGATAAATGGTTTATTTCCTTTTATGCAAGATAAGAAAAATAAGAAATTATAGATACGTATGTGAAGCCTGTGAAACCAATTTACCGAAATAATTTGATACCTGTCACTACGTTTTGGAAGAAATCCCATTTACTAAGTAGATAATAAAGGAATTGATAATAACTTAATAAACCAATGAATAAGATCGTAATTGAATTATCCCACGTAATTATTTACAAAATATTTAAAATGGAATCACCCGCAAGCAAGAATTAATGTCATATGGAAACGCAGTAGATAGAGAGTAATGATGATAAACGAAAAAACAAAGCAATTAGATGGAAGGGACAAAGGACGCAATAAGATAAACACTGAGAAAGGATAAAAAGTAATAAATCAATGATGCCAGCAATTTCCAGAGAATTTTTGCCACGGATTTTGGCAACATTGATTCAGATAGAATATAAAAGAGAATATTTAGAAATACCAATAACGAGAAAAAGGATTAATAGTGCTGGTAAATTATAAGTCTATTCCGCAAACTAAAATCGCAATAATAATTGAAATTTAAGAAAATTCCTCCAACAAAGAATTCTCACACAGATGATCTGGCAATCAAAAATACGTAATTAAGTAAAATACTCGTAATAAATGTAAATAAGTAATATAAGAAAATAATTATCTGGGTTTAGAAAAGATGAATATAACACAAAATAGGATAGAAATGAGAAATGATGATAATAATTATTATTTTCCCCGGCCAAGAATTGTTGCCAGATT